TCAGAAATTTTAATAAATTAAACGTAAAAAATACTACCTACTCCAATAGTGATAATTTATAAATAGGCAATGGTACTGCCATAATTTATTATGTTCTAAATACAACGTTTGTTATGCAATCGTAATCCCAATTCCTCCTAATCCTGTACTGGATGTGGATTGACCTTGAGATTAATTTTGTTTGGACCAGTTATATTCATGAGGATCTAGTTGATCGTTGCACCCCAAAATGAGATCAAATATATTGGCTTTATTCTTCCCGAAAGCATCAAAAACTAGAAGCCATTGTTGTTCAATTTTAACGTTGCATAAACCTGATACAAAAATAGAACTTCAGAAATCGGCAACAAAGTAGTTCTGTTTTGCTACCTTACGTTGGTTTTTTGTAGTAGTAGTACTAGCGACGCCTCTGGAACATAGAAGGTTGATCAATTTTGTACACGGATAACCTGCGACGTTATGACTCTATTGTTATTCAAAATTCGCAGGCATTGAACTCGAGCTTTTCACAAAAGGATCGATTTAATGTTTAAACTACGTTTTAGACGGATTGCGCGTCAATTTTTTGGCTCGTGCAAGGACAAGAACCAAAACATGCGGAATAGGGAATGTCGTTTGGTTTATAGTCCTTTGTTGACCCTTTGCTGGGTCTAAGGGATAAGGGCAGACGGCGCAATGCAAGGTTGCCGATTGTTCAGTTTTAGCTACACTACAAAACCAACTAAGGAAATCTAGCTTTACGGAACGACCTGAAATCGAGCATTATGGGTTCCGCAACCGCAGGGGTATCACCTTAAAATCTCACTTAATATCAAAATAATCTAAGGTAATGTGAAATTGTTCACTAGGTCAAATGAGGTAGCCGCTAGTAGACATCTAGTGCGTACCATCATACACGTTATGCTACTACGAAAGGACATGGAGTGAACCACAGCTAGTTTCAAATTTAGCAGGAAAAATATGACGTTACTTAAGAAATTTAATATAATACACAAAATTCTTATGTAGCGTCAAAAAATTCTTTTTAAAATTACGTAATACCCCTGCTGTATTCAGCAACTTAAAAAGTGACATTCTATAGATTTTTTTATTTCACTATGTAGTTTTTTTACACTATGTAAGTTTTTCTATAAAATGCCATCCTCAAGATGACTGTAATTGTAGTACTGATGTAGTCGGGATTAAATTTGCAATAGGTGTCAGGATCAAGGTCACTTGCAGCTCATATCATTTCAAGAAAAGTAGCTTGAAAATCAAGTCAAGAAGTGAATCCCTAACTTACACCATTAACAAAAATCAACCATTTTGCTGAGAACTGAGCGAAATTAAATGTGATCACACTTACGAGACTTACTGATATACTCGTAGCATGTGATGTATTTGTCTAAGCACTTCAGATTTTCATAATTGGGCTTTGTATTCTGAATCGTGTTTAATTTCACACTTTCCGATAAAAATCTATACTTCCCAGTGGTTCAAATATTGCAAATATAATAACGAAAGCCTGGTAAACATGTATTCAATTACAGATAAAATCTCGTTTTGAGCACGTACCGTACATACATACATAAATTTTCGACGTTGCCAGTAACTTCAAGTCGTAAACATTGTTTTGGTATCAAAAGTATTCATATCCAATATTAATTTATTTATGACGGCGTTTGAAACTTAAATAGCTTTTGTTTATTCATTTGCAAAACTAGAATTCTTAATTAACTCTTCTTTCCGATATTTTCAAGGCAGAATATATTTATGGTCAATAATTGAAATCAGAAATGTTAGAAGTACAACTTTGATTATTCTAAGATTGCTTGCCTATAAACGTACAATTTGAAAAATATATGGCAGTATTCTGACCAAGCGTAACATCTGACATACAGATATATCTAGAGATTAGGATCTTATCAAAATTAAGTAGCTTCAGATTTATGATCTTATTTATCGATGATTATTTTTAGATTTTCGTTCAAGGTTTTCGTTGAAAATTTCTTGCGAATGCCCCTCGCAATTCTGCCATTATTTGATTTTTTCACCTATGCATTCTTATGACTGAACGTTTTCCTTATATGGGTTTGAAAGTACATCGTGAAACGCAATGAGAAAAATTATAATTCTTTTCTAAATTCTTCAAAGCATGAATCCATGAGTGACTACATTGATTACTTGTTGCATCAACTACCGACTTTGTAGAACTCAAATATTGTTGATATCATTTCCGCATTTTGAATTACATACTATGCACTTTACACCTTTATGGTTAATATTCGAGTATAGCAATTCATTATTTCGGGGTTATTGGCGAAGGTTTATGTTTATATAATTGGAATTGAATTGCTTATTGGTTCAACGTAATTAGGCTTAATAGTAGCAGTTTTTTTTCGGCCAGGAAGGTTGATTTTATACATTTTAGTTTGGTTTTTAAACACTTGAATAGGAGAAAAATGGGTCATAATGTTTGACATACAAAGTGCACGGAAATCTTAGTAACCCCAACGAATAAAATTCTAATAAGTAAGTAACAAAACGAAAAAAAGTAGCATAACACCTCGTATACCACTGTTAACCCGGTGTGCATTTGCATCGAAAACTGATGATGCGCACGTATCCTCCGATTTGTAATTCGTTCGTTCCATTTGGTACTAGACTATATAGAATAGTTTCGGCAACCTTACGTAACGCCTGGGGACGCCCAGGTACATAGATCGTCTTTGATTAAGATATCTTGTAAGCAATACTTAACTCTATTAATATATGTCGCGTATTACATATTTGCAATGAAAATATTTAAAATTAGTCCAAAAACCATATTTCAGACACAATATCTGTCAACATCGCTATTTCTTGCTCGCATCCCTTTGTCTTCCTTTTTTTCGCCGTTACTATGTAGAAGACCTATTCATATCCCAAACGTGTATGGTATGCCTTAGGAGGTTCGCGCTTTCGCAATAACCGCCCGGGCTGACCGCGTAACATGAAGACCGGCTACTCACTTTAATCTCCTATTCATAGTCCCAAAAAGTATAGGACGCTTTAGGGCGCTCGTTCTTCCGTCTTTATCGCGCGACCTGGCATCACCGCTTTGTGGCTGGGCTGCCTACCTGACATACAGACTGGCGACAAATCTACATATAGTTCAAGACACAATGGGTCACTTTAAGAGGCTCGTTCTTTCGACATCACCGCGCGACGCGGCAACCTCCATTGCGGCTATTCAATTGCCTCTCGTATTTATTGTCCAAAAGTGTATGGGAAGCTTTAGGAGGCTCGTCCTTCCGTCATCACTGTTCGACAAGGCAACATCGCATTGCGGCAGCACCGTCTACGAGACATGCACGCCGGCTATTCAATTTACTCTCCCGATTTATTGTCTAAAAGTGTATGGGTCGATTTAGGAGGCCCGTTCTTCCGTCATCATCGCGCGACGTGGCAACCTCCATTGCCGCTATTCGCATTGCATTGCGGCAGCACCGTCTACGAGACATGCAGGCCGACTAATCAATTTATTGTATGGGTCGCTTTAGGAGGCCCGTTCTTCCGTCATCATCGCGCGACGTGGCAACCTCCATTGCCGATATTCAATTTCCTCTCCTATTTATTGTTCAAAAGTGTACGGGAAGCCTTAGGAGGCTCGGCCTTCCGTCATCACTGCTCGACCAGGCAACATCGCATTGCGGCAGCACCGTCTACGAGACATGCAGGCCGACTATTCAATTTACTCTCCCGATTTATTGTCCAAAAGTGTATGGGTCGCTTTAGGAGGCCCGTTCTTCCGTCATCAACGCGCGACGTGGCAATCTCCATTGCCGCTATTCAATTTCCTGTCGTATTTTTTGTCCAAAAGTGTATGGGAAGCTTTAGCAGGCTCGTCCTTCCGTCATCACTGTTCGACCAGACAACATCGCATTGCGGCAGCACTGTCTACGAGACATGCAGGCCGACTATTCAATTTACTCTCCCGATTTATTGTCCAAAAGTGTATGGATCGCTTTAGGAGGCCCGTTCTTCTGTCATCATCGCGCGACGTGGCAACCTCCATTGCCGCTATTCAATTTCCTCTCGTATTTATTGTCCAAAAGTGTACGGGAAGCTTTAGGAGGCTCGTCATTCCATCATCACTGTTCGACCATCCAACATCGCATTGCGGCAGCACCGTCTACGAGACATGCAGGCCGACTAATCAATTTATTGTATGGGTCGCTTTAGCAGGCCCGTTCTTCCGTCATCATCGCGCGACGTGGCAACCTCCATTGCCGATATTCAATTTCCTCTCCTATTTATTGTTCAAAAGTGTACGGGAAGCCTTAGGAGGCTCGGCCTTCCGTCATCACTGTTCGACCAGGCAACATCGCATTACGGCAGCACCGTCTACGAGACATGCAGGCCGACTATTCAATTTACTCTCCCGATTTATTGTCCAAAAGTGTATGGGTCGCTTTAGGAGGCCCGTTCTTCCGTCATCATCGCGCGACGTGGCAATCTCCATTGCCGCTATTCAATTTCCTCTCGTATTTCTTGTCCAAAAGTGTATGGGAAGCTTTAGCAGGCTCGTCCTTCCGTCATCACTGTTCGACCAGGCAACATCGCATTGCGGCAGCACTGTCTACGAGACATGCAGGCCGACTATTCAATTTACTCTCCCGATTTATTGTCCAAAAGTGTATGGATCGCTTTAGGAGGCCCGTTCTTCTGTCATCATCGCGCGACGTGGCAACCTCCATTGCCGTTATTCAATTTCCTCTCCTATTTATTGTTCAAAAGTGTACGGGAAGCCTTAGGAGGCTCGGCCTTCCGTCATCACTGTTCGACCAGGCAACATCGCATTGCGGCAGCAGCGTCTACGAGACATGCAGGCCAACTATTCAATTTACTCTCCCGATTTATTGTCCAAAAATGTATGGGTCGCTTTAGGAGGCCCGTTCTTCCGTCATCTTCGCGCGACGTGGCAATTTCCATTGCCGATATTCAATTTCCTCTCCTATTTATTGTCCAGAAGTGTACGGGAAGCTTTAGGAGGCTCGTTCTTCCGTCATCATCGCGCGACCTGGCAACATCACACTGCGGCCGGCCGGCCTACGTGACATGCAGGCTTCCCTATTTCCGGCGTCGCTCTTCGTACATATGACAACATCGGAATGTGGCTCCATGCACGCCTGTGCCGTACAGGATGAACGCCGGCACGCTGCTGCTGGGTTGCCAGCGAAAGTGAAAACCGCGATGGCCGATCGGCATTCAGTTGTTACCGAATCGCTGTTGTCATAGGAGGCGAGCCGGCGTGCCGTGATCCTCATTTGTTTATTTTCTTTCACCGTGTTCCCTGTGAGCGTTGAGCGGGTGCCGGAAGACGCACAGTTTGTTGTTCCGTGAGAAGTGGTGTGTTTACACGCGTCCGAGAATCTGAACGGTAACTGTTTAGTGTTGCGTTCTTTTTGTTTACGTTTTGTTTAGAACACGTGGTAGTGTGTTGTTAGCCGGTTAGTTTACATGGTGCCGGCGTTACGATAGCTGGAGTTCTCGTTGGGATCGCGTATTTGGGTAAATATCTGGAAAATGGATTCAAGAGAATTGGAACATCTTTGGTTTTATCAAGCGTCCATTTATAGATGGATGATTTTGACTTTGTGGTGAATAGTGAATGTACGCCTGATTGAAAATGCAACTTACGCTTCTCAAAATACGAGAAACGCGTCGCATAGTGTAAACAAACAAAATATCTGATCGTCAGATTAGAAGAAAGTTGACGAGCTCTCAAAAATGTGCTGATATTTATAGGACTTATTAAACATAAAACTCGAGTAATATAAAAAACCTGGACCAATAAAGTTCATATATAAATAACCTGCCACTGTTCACAATATCTCGACGTCATAACTAGCGAATGAAGGTATCTCATTTATTTTTGCAAAATTTGTTTTACTTGCCTTTGTAGCCTAGGTCTCATCAGTACTGTCATTTACGAATTACCGGATTTTTCTGTAATAAACCTTCGAACAAACATGTTGCATTTCAGATTCTCCCTAATCATACTACATACGTCGCATATACATGAGAAACGTGTTGTAATATTTATCTGACATTCCAGATACTCTCACAAAGCACATTACAAAGACAATTTTCTGATTTTCCATACTCTTTTCTAATACATGTTCACCTTACAATTAGTTTCCATCGACAACCACGGTTTTCTTTGTTTGACCTTGAACGATGGTACCCAGCCGAAAACCAAATCCGTAACCGACTATAAACTGGTCTCAGGAACGTGGCGTGGGTTCAAAACAATTCAGAAGAAATGTATCGGGGCATTGACAATTCGTTCCGGCAACGAATGCTAGAAGCAATGTTTTTATATTCTCTGTGAAGGCGAATATTGCAAGAACACCATGATTGTAAGAAGTAGGAAGGTATTTGGTAATACGAGTTTCGAACCGGCAGTTGGATCTAAGCGAATAATTTAAAATGTTTCGTAATCTAGGGTCTTGGGAATATACGAGGTTTGTTCAATTGAAACCCGGTTTCATTTGAACAAGGCTCGTATTATAGATGGTGAAGCAGTGATTTAAAAAATGGCTTAGGATCAACAGAATCCATAGAGGAGAGATCAACGGGGAAGTTACTACATTGTTGATGTAGTCCTATGACACAAAAGGGTTGTTTCAGAAGAAAGATCGTAATTAATAATAATAAAAAAAGATCGGAAACCAAGTTTGCAGTTTCCGCCGTTTTCCGCAGTAGTAGACTCTTCGTCTCCTACTCCCGTCCCAAGAGAGATTTTTTCTCTTGGCTATGGATTTTGTGATTGTCCGTAGGTGGTAGACGGTCTCCGAGTCTCGAACGCAGAGATTTACCACCCGGCGGATCTCGTAGGCGGGGCCAGAATGTGTGTATGTTGCATGCACACGTGTTCCCCATTTCCCCTGTATCCCCCTATTACTCCACGGTACCCCATGGGTGTTTAGACCTTAGGCCTTCGTGGTAGTTGGAGTATAAAAAAATACAAAAGAGTCTATAGTTCTTCGTAGTGTGAGATCATCAACCACTCCTCATTATTGGTTATAGTCAAAATGAGCACTCGGTCATAATGCCTAGAGCACGAGACTTGAAACACGAGGAGACAAAAAGGTCAAAGAACCAGCTTATATAACTGTTCATTACAGTCTTCCAAATTCCTTGGTGGACTGTGATCCAATCTGGCCGGTTAATCTTCTACGACGAATCGGCAGACAAATTTAGTTGGTTTGACCTTGAATTCCGAATGAGTAGCCTTTCATGTCGGTCCCTCCAGGTAAGAGTTGTGTATATTGTTGGGGTGGCGATGTATTACATGTTTTATTCAAACACTTTTAAAAATAGAGCAGTTTTCAAATTTTCAAAAGCTTCAGAGGCAGCCGATATATTAGTAAACATCCTATCATGACAATATATGAATCGGTTGCAGATGTTGAGTTTGATCAGGATTGGAGAATACGTCACAAGATAGTTCATTGCCATTCATTTGTAAAATAAACAATCATCTCTCATACATGACCAATTAATTGATACATTTATTTTGCATTGTTTCGATTTTTAGCCGAGGAGATATGTATCATATGATTCAGTCATCAGTGCTTGAGCACAACAACTTTAGATAAAATAGCAAATCAGTTCATTTAAAAAAATAATCCAGATTCCCAAGATCCAAAGCGGACATTAGAACCAGTTGATTTCTAGGCAACACTCGCTACAATTTTCAGTTAAAATTCGTCTTTGGACTCTACTACCCTGTCAATTTCGTAATCGAACCCGAAGCGCTTTACAGTGAAAAATATTTCTTCAGATTTGGGAACAAACGGAGATCTAAAGATGCCAAATCAGGTGATTAGGAACCATACACGAAATCTCGCAGTTTTTTGCCAATAATAACCTTCGCAGGTGCGTTTTCCTGATGAAAAATGATCTTCCAATCCAAGCCTCCTCGCGAACTTTGGCATCTGGTTGATCAAGGAGATAGAAATAGTATTCGTATGTAACTGTTATGCCCTTCTCAAGGTAATCCACAGAATCCCCTTCTTATCCCAAAACATACTGATCACGACATTTCTGGCAGATACGATAGTAGAGAACGAGGGAGTATCAAATAACAGGCAACACAAGTCTTTAGGCGAGCTCTTTGCGCGTTTTAAAATTTAAAATATAACTATTTGAATATAGTAGTTTTGAGCGCTTATACGTTACTATCGGCAAGAAGGAATTAGAGGTTGATCCAGAGCAATATCAGTCCTCTCCTTTATGTTAGGGTAGGAGTTCTTCGGATAAAACAACATAGCAGTGGTCTTGTTAGCATTAATTTAGAAAGTGTTTCTCATAGCAGTGGTCTTGTTAGCATTAATTTAGAAAGTGTTTCTCATGTTAGAGCCAAGTCTAAATTAATAATAATAAAAGTCTTTATTAAATACTATATTCAATACATGTATATATATATATATATATATATTTTGCCTTTTGTTGGGTACTTAGACAAAATTTAAGCAAAGCGGACTCTTTATACTTTTTTAATTCTCTCTAGCTTTCAATGGACTTTGCCATCATCATCAGGAGCTGCAATTACAATGATAACAGTAGCAACAATAGTGTAAAATGAATTTAAATTGACTTAACTTACAGTAGTATGTGAGGATGTTGCTAATTGTTGTTTACGTATAGGATGAGGGAAACGTCCAGTAACATGGTGAAAGCTGGATAGATGGTACAATGGTCAAAATTATATAAAATATGACAAGAACAAGTTAAAAACAGATTAAAAATTATTTAAAAACATGAAAGCATTACATCGTGAAGCCACTTGATGATTCCACAAAATGGTGGTCATGGAATAATGAGTGAGATGAACCCTTTGACAGAAGGCCGAAGGTTGTCAATGTCTGTGTAGAAAGATGGAACGAATTGTGGGCGTGTGACCAACGTTGCATCTTTCTACACAGACATCGACAACCTTCGGCCTTCTGTCAAAGGGTTCATCTCACTCATTATTCCATGACCACCATTTTGTGCAATCATCAAGTGGCTTCACGATGTGATGCTTTCATGTTTTTAAATAGTTTTTAATCTGTTTTTAACTTGTTCTTGTCATATTTTATATAATTTTGACCATTGTACCATCTATCCAGCTTTCACCATGTTACTGGACGTTTCCCTCATCCTATACGTAAACAACAATTAGCAACATCCTCACATACTACTGTAAGTTAAGTCAATTTAAATTCATTTTACACTATTGTTGCTACTGTTATCATTGTAATTGCAGCTCCTGATGATGATGGCAAAGTCCATTGAAAGCTAGAGAGAATTAAAAAAGTATAACGAGTCCTCTTTGCTTAAATTTTGTCGACGTACCCAACAAAAGGCGGAAGCTTAAATTTTGCACCTAACTGGTCTAGACGACAATGACCACGTCTAAAAAAAAATATATATATATACATATATATATATATATATATATATATATATATATATATATATATATTCATCCAAAGATTTTCGATCAAACTTCTGCGTTTTGGACACAGCGTGTAACCAGATTACATATTTTATTATAGCAATAATTATAATTATAGCTATTAAATGTAATGTTTCGCTAAACAATGTTGCCGACAGAGCTATAATTCTGTCAAGGAGAGAGAGTCAAAACAATAAAATTATTTATAAAAAATTACTCCAACTATCAGATGAGTTTTCCATCACAACCTACAATTTAACAGATTTTAATACTTAATTGGTTTAACGATTTATAAATGAACCATAAACACTAGATAACACTTTTTTACGTAAGCTTGATTCGAACCTTTGTATTTGACCGAACCAGATAATTTTGTGTAGTATACTCGTACACAGTAATGAGGTACTCACATGTGACTGCTGTTTAAACAGATTTGAACAGGAAATAATCCTATTGTCTCTCAATTCTGAATTGGGGATGGAGCATAATTCGATTATCTTGGCTAATATGCCGCAGTACTGCATTGTCTAGCTGCAATAGAAACCAGCAACATATGGCAATATAGTTAGTATAGCCCGGTTATATTTTATTGCTACACATGTTTGATATTTCCAAACCATTTTCATATATTGCTGTCAGATTACCAAATATCGGAACTCTGTAAATGTAAGATGCTGCGACGCGTACAATTTAGTCAGTCGTTCTTACCTGATCTTGCAGCAATTCTGATAAGAAATTTTGACATTTGTATGTGTCTACATATTGCAACGTTACCAAGATATAGTTGAGATATACAGCCGGATCATCTGGGTTGAGCAGACTCGCTGGTGTGGAGGCTCAGTCGATAACGCAAGAAAAATAAAATATCAGAATGTGTTAACAAAACCTCGCGCACTAAGAGTACAATAAAATGGAACAGGTACTTACTCCCCAGGAAGATCCAGTCCCACGAAGGGAGATGCGCCGCGAGTGATCCCACGGTAGAAATAATCTCCGACAGAACCTCCACCGGCGGCGAATAATACACCTTTGCAGATTATGCGTTATTTGCCGACGATCTGGA